GGGCCGGCAAGGCGCGAATCGATACATCTCAATCGACCCGTTTTATCGCGGCGGGAGTCCGCCATATCGCCGCCGCTCATCGTATGCAATTACGACACCGTGAAATGCTAATTCCGTCACTCAATTCTTGTCGTAACTCCTAGCCTACGCACCGCGCGGCGCCGTGGACGGTGCGTTAGCAACACCATCGAACTGCGTTCCATTTCCAGCCATCGATTACGCCCTGAGTGTTGCTGTCCTGCCGTGCTAAGGGAAAACACTGTATAACCACTGCGACGTTGTCACATTCCCTCTTTTAAATTACGAGTTTCCTGGAAATTTTTCGAATTTTTTCCCTCGGATTTCTTAAGTATTTTCTTCGTAATTCAATCAAGAGCTCTTAAAAATACGGATGAGAAATGTTCACGACTTCTTCCTTGAATGCATAGTTAAATTGAGGAAATTTGGCAGCGTGGGAATTCTCATACGGCGTTTTTTCCTTAGCGGGGCAGTGTTACACACTTCGCCGATCCTGTGAATAATTGAGAGGTTTCGGCCAGACCGCAGCTACCTCGTAGGTCTAAAATTAATTGAATATAATATGAGGGCCAACTCGACGGTTCTACAGAAACGAGGCCTAGTTTTACGCCCCCTCTCTCCTCTTTGAAACCTTTACGCATATTCTCCTTTCTAGGGAAGCACAGTAAAAAAATTCAGGGAAAAAATAAAATCGTCGGTCATGCAATGCTCATGGTGGATTTCAGATCCTACCGACTTAGTTCCTTGTCAAAGGTTACTTGTTACCTTTTTCAGTGACATGTAATACGATCCTGGGAACCAGCGCTGCATTGCTAAGGAGACTAAAATGGACGAATTTCTGCCAAACGGAACTATGTGCATTAAGACATGAGCCCTGAGACCCATAATAATAAATGCATAACAGGCCTTACGTCATAATGCACAGACCTCCGTTTGGCAGAAATAGGTGCAAATATTGTTTATGAAACAAGTAACATTTTAACTACGACTAGAAAAGTAGGTGAGATCTGGAAGTCAGTATGAGCCCCGTAAAAGCAGCGATTCTTTTTTCTCCACTGCGACTGTATTACAATGTGATCAGAAAAAAGTAAAATTATGAATGTGTGTCAATAAAAGCAGTCGACAATTCCTGGCAATTTGGAAGCAGAATGCGTTGAAACTCGTCAAATTATACCTCGCATCTACACAGTAAAGATTTCATTTGGAAAGAACTGTAAAAGCGCACCACCTCGGCCGCGAGCACCTTCAAAGCCTGGCGATACTCTCCGCTTTGCCGGGAAGTTAGTTTAGTTGCCAATTCGAACTAAACCTAACTAGGTTACTGGTTTCACTGAGGGATGCGGCACTATAGAAAAGAACGTCTGTTTGAATTCGAGCATGACAATCAGTAATTTCTTTCTTGTTTTTTCACTCCTGAATGTTGTAATTTATTTATTAAACAAATAGTTATTGCAATTGGCTGGTATCAGCTATGGCCCCGCCGCCGACCATACAAATACTCCTCAGATTGTGGACGAGGATGTTGAATACCTTATTACGGCGGAAAAATGCCGCACAGTGGATCGAGTCAATGAGAGAGGTCGGACATGAAATTTTTGACTAAAATTGCAAATTTTGATGTTTATTTCGATACATTTTAAATTTCAAGGGGTGCTCTCAGAAGAAAATTTCACGAGGAAACCAATGGAACCACTTTTAGAACCTCAAAATTTTGTATAAACCGAGTTAAAAGCGTTTAAAGTTTCCAAATTTTGTTCGACCTCTTCTATTGACTTGATCCATCTTGCGCCGTAAGAATACTTTAAAACTGCCCATTTTATTCTGACGAAATATCTATTTTGAAGAAGAGTTATGAATCTTTCATACATCTTTTTTTTATAATTTTTAGTGAGTGGTTTTTGAGGAATATATTCGTCCTATACAAATGGTACCATTTTTTCTGTTTCAGGTGATCAAAATTTTGTCAGCTTCCCGAGACGTTTAGAAATCTTTATGGTGAAAAGTTTCAAAAAATGAAGTGTTACAATGCTTCACCGGGGTGAAGGCCCTAAAACACTCGCAAAAGCAGATTCAGTCTTCTCAGGAACGACCAATCTTCAAAAATAACGATGATCCTAAAATAACCATCGAACTCCTCATTTTAGACACACGTAGAAACCATCGTGATCCGCTAGCTTGATTCCTTTCCAGTCAAAAATGAGTTCCGATGAATTCCCTCCCCGGTTTTAAAGTTTGATAAAAGATGGTCGTCAAGACACGCTCGAACCCGAAAAACCGCGCCCTCCGCTGTATCGACACCTCGAATAACTGGCAAAGAATCAAACTGAGTCCCTCACCGATCAAGCGTAAAGAATCAGCGATGAGCAAGGAATCCTCCCTTCCCGAGCGCCCGGAAACCGCGACCCTCGACAAACCGTCCGTCTTGGACCCCAACCTGTCGAAAAAGATCGACATGACGATTTTGTCTCGAGAAAACCTCAAATACGTCAACAATTTAGTCGTCAAGCCGATACCGAAGAAGGCATCCCTCGAGGAACAAACCCAGGCGCTGAACAGTCTAACGGCAGGACTGAACACCATCAGCGGGCCGAACTCCTTAATCGTCACATCCGCGGAATCCAGACTCAAAGGGGTGGCGAAAACCCCTTCCTCGTTCAACCCCGTGTCTCTGGACCCCCAAAAAAAGGCCGAACCGAAATCGAAGAGAGACTCGACCCATATCTCACCGAGCCAACCAACCAGAGGCAAAACCGTTCTTCTGGAGAGTAAACCGCGGATAACCTCGAAAAAGGCACCCGACGAGACACCGTCTAAGCTCTCGAAACTCTATAAAGTTATCAATAAAAACTATAGGATCAGGACGAGTTTCCGTCGCGCGAAGGACAAATCGAGCACGAGTAGGAGTTCTTCTCGCTGCGACGTCACGAGCCAGGACGAATCGCGGTTAGCGAAGCCGGAGGCCGAGAAGCCCCACGGGGGTAAACTCAAGAAGGCGGGGAAGAAATCCGGGGGCAAGGAGAAGAAGTCCGAAGTCGGGGCCCAGCGGAGACCCTTCGCTTCCAAGTTCAAAGGCCGCAGTAAGAGTCTGAAAAGGTCGGAGGAGGCGGTTAAGGGTAGTAAGAAGGAAAAATTTCTGGGTGAGGCGCTAGGCGAAGGTGAGAAGAAGGTACCAGGATCGTCATCGTCGTCGCAGATTCCGGTGAGGAGGACGATGAAGGAGGGAACGGCGAGTGGGCCGTCGAGTCTGACCGCAGAGGATCTGCGTCCGGTGACCCGGGATCTGGAGAACGGGTACTCCTTGACCGAGTGGATCCCGGTGCCGCCATCTTCCGGCCGGAGACCCAGGCTCATCACCTGCCGATTCTGCTCCAGGGAGTTTGGTACAGCTTCCTACCCAGTCCATGAGCCGAGATGTATGAGGGTGAGTTTTCCGCTGAATCTTCTCTAAAGCTCTGGATAGACGATCAAATTCCCGAACCAATTCCGATCAAAGTAGCATCAAAGTGTCGGGAGTCATCAGTCTTAAACTCATTAATGTGCTTCATTTTAAAATGAAAACTTGGCAAAAATGTTTCCTGTGGCAGGAAATGATGAATGGTGGCACTCCGTTCTGATTTTACTTTGAACAAAAAAGTGCGGCCCGTCAAAATTTGATGGTAGATGGTGACCACCAGTCATCAGCATGTCTACTTTGATCGAAATTGGTTCGGAATTTGATCGTCTATCCAGGGATTAAAGGTCTCGATACACGATCAAATTCCCGAACCGATTACCATCCAAGTGTCGGGAGTCATCAGTCTTATTATTTTGCTTAATTTTAAAATGAAAACTTGGCAAAAATGTTTCGTGCGGAAGGAAATGATGAATGGTGGCACTCCATTCTGATCAACATTTGACGGTCCGTCTAATTTTGATCAAAGAGGACTGTTGCATAATGACTATCAGTCATCAACTGGTCTACTTTGATCAGAATAGGTTCGGAATTGGATCGTGTATCGAGACCTTAATGGAGCTCTTGCATATGTCAGAATTTTTTCAAAATCGAGTTGTCTTCAAAATTCGTCTAATTTCTTTTAGATGAAATCACTGAAATTCCTAAAACAGCAGAATTCATCTTAATTCTTTAAAAACGAGACATGTGAGAAAACCGCAATTTCGCAAAAATAAATGACATAGTCTCAGGCAAGATAGCAGTAAGTGACAACAATATTACTCCAAAGAGCCAATGAAAACAGCGCTTTCAAGTGAAATGCCACCCGCTTCTGCCAATTTCTCACCTGAAAATGTTCTCGTTGTGTGCCCAAAACGCAACCGCGAAAGCATGCAGAAGATAGCTTTTACAGGTGTCTTTGCCTAGCATTAGCCTGACATTAGCCTGACATGAGAATGAAAAATACCCTTTTTATGTGATTGAAGTAGGATTGGTCGATTTTCAATCATCCAAACGATTTCTAGGAGTCTTTCTGATGATTAGGGGCAATTTGACAAAGAATGGAGGGTTCTTTCAATAAGATTTTTCGGTCAGACGCTTCTGAGCCCGTTTTCTCAAAACTTCATTTTGCACTTACTGCTCTCTCCGCTCTCTCAAAATGGTGCCGCTGGTTTTCTCTGAAATAAACTACAAAGCTCAAGAAAAAGCTTTCAAAGTTGAGGTTGTAATGGATAGGATATCCTACGCTACTCTGAATGTCCACCTCTATTTCAAGTCAATTTGAAAGGAAAATGATCGTGTCAGTATTATCACTGTGCTTACAAAGCAAATGAGAGGTTGTGAGATTTTTAAGACATTATAACTGCGTTGGTTCACTTCTGCTAAATGCGATTCATATACAATCATTACCTCAAGAGCGCAACTGCTCCTCACAAATAATTTCCATCTAAAAATCATTGTGTGCTTTCAAAATCATAAGCTTTTAAAAAGTGGTAACTTGAGGTCTACGAAACTACAAATCAATTTATGTTACAGTTATGGTTGGGCGAACAAAATAAAGACAATAAGACTGAAGACGACTCTTCCATTGGCCAATCAGACCAAGGCAGTGTCTCATCCCAAACTACAAAGGTATGTACTTTATAGTTTATCCATCATTTTGAATCTATTCGTGGCCTTAAAATTATTGAAGGAGATTATAGGGGGACTTAGTTCTTTAAGGGCCAAAAAGTTGGTTTTTTGGCCAGTGAGGGGGTTATTTTTAGGGCACCATTTCATCGGGCGTAAAATAATTTCGAAACATGGGATCCAGCGTTTTCTTAGTCTGGACCTAATTTTCGGATGATTTTAGGAAAAAAATCAAATTTGCACCTTGAAAGATTTCAGACCCTCTTAAACTCCATAAACCCTTCTAACTTTTGAATTCGAAATGTTTACGGGCACAGATATATAATCAGCGCCTTAAATCACGGAAATTAGCACGGAAATTTCATTAATTTTAGTCCACGTCCGTCGTTAAAATGCATAAAAACTATTATTTTCTGGATCATGGGGAGGAAGCTCTGACTAGAGGGGACCACTGGAATAAGTTCACAGAGCAAACAGTATTATTTTGACCTTCAAGGCGTTTTTGCAGTCTAGCTGTTCAAATCTGGGTCATCCTTTATATTACGAGTAAGCAGCGCACAATGTATTTAAACCCATGTTCCCCAAGACAGAGTGATATTCATATCGTCATCTTCCGGTCAAAGTATCACAAGCGCCATGCGACGTTCCAAAATTTCCGCCGTCATTTTATTTTTTCACAGAGAAATTATTGATTGAATCTGTTTGAAAATTTCACCGAATTTTATCGACAGCACAAAGAAAATTCAGTGTAATTTTCGGACAGCTTTGTTGAACAATTTCTCTGTAAAAAAAATAAAATGGCGGCGGAAATTTTGAAACGTCACATGGCGCTTGTGATACTTTGGCAGGAAGGTAACGACATATGGGTCAGTGGCGAGGCGTGAATAATCGATTATCGATATATTCCAATTTGAAGCTATGGTATAGAATCGATTATTAAGGTGTTCATGGCGAACACCCTTTTTATCGATCCTTTTCCATAGGTTAAATGGCAGATCAATCGATATATCGCAAAGCACGCCACGCCATTGATGAGAACGTGTAGGGCTGCAGTTGCATCGAGTGTATGGTACGCTTTGTCAAGGTCAGTTCGAGGTGGGTGTATGAATATTCAAAGCGTTGTCATGATATGACACGCGGTTGCAGGGGGCGGGGCGCCCGACAAAGGCACCCTCATTTAATCAATCTCCGTTGGGTCTGTCCTAGCGAGTAATCAAACATTGCATACGGTGTACGACAGGTTGCGTCCATTCATAACCAAGGCGCGGCGGTGTCAAGGACGGAAAAACCTACTTTTCATTACGGCAGAGGGGAAAAAGTCACCAATGGCATTCGGCCAGGGAAATGAGCAATCGTGCGGAAACGATTGCAGAGGAAGGGGTCGAAGCTGCTGGGGCCTAATTGCATCGCAACGTCGCAAAGTTTCATTAATTATTTACATTTAGAGTTATTTATTCCAGTGTTGTACAATTTTTGCAAAGTTTTCTCTTGAATTTTCCTTTTGATATGACGAAAATCGCTCCCAATTTCGAACGTAAAACATGCTGCGATGGAGAAATAAAAAATTACGTGTTAGATGAAACTTCGTGGCGTTGCAATGCAATTTTTTGTGCTTTTTGGCTGGAATTTCTTAGAATATTCCCCAATAATGTTGGAATCTTGTAACACTGTGGTTTGCAACTCGTCTTTCCGCCACCTTTTTCTAGAATTTTTTTGACTTTTTTGGCATTTAAAGAAAAATATCTTTTTAAACATTAATCCCAAAAATTGGGAAGGAACCAAACTGACACCAAACACAAATAGCACCACAATGTGCGTAACGGTGGAGGATAGTCTTAGAGGAATACATTTTTTTAGGGGTCCATCAAGCACCCCAAAGGATGTAGACATAAATTTAGAGTCAACATCGATTGCCATGTCAAGTACCAAAGAGAGAAGTTTGAAAAAAAAAAATCATAAAAAAAGCCCTTTGATATTTTTCCGTGTTTTTCTTCTTACTCCTTTATAGAGCTCATTAAGCTTAAAGTAAAGCCAAAAATAGAGCTTGAAATGTCTCAAATTTAAACAATAAGTAGGATTCAAATGTTTGCAAACTATATAACCTTTCGAAATGCGTCTGCTTTTTAAGGCCACATGAAAGAAAACCTCTGTTAGCTTAGTTATGAAAAAACTTTCAAGGCTATACCTGTTCTGACACGCCAAGAAACGTCGAATATTGTCGAAATTCGTCTGAACATTCGAACAAAATATGTATGTATTTTAGAGAGGAGGTAAAAATATTTTCCTTCGATATTTTTAGGTACTGTAAATTAAACTCTGTGAATAGGACGTATTTATTCTAAAATGAACTATGTACCCAGGGTTTGCGTGTAACATAGTTCCTTTTAGCATAAATAAGTCCATTAGATAGAAGGATAGTGTGCATTTCTTCTTCAGAAAACTCGATCTATACATGCAAGCAACGTTTCGAAACGCCCGAGTGCACATACGGTGTTATTTCTTCGCAAGGCAACATTCTGCCGCACAGAGGAAGAATGCCGTATGAACCTTCAGATGGACCCACATTTCCTCCGATAAAAAACGAATTCCCTTGGACGATTGTGAATATTTTTCTTGACAATGAACCTATTGCAAACTTTTGCGAGAGCAAAAATAAGAATTGTTTCTATCATTAAATGTCTCAAAAATCACGATGAACGCATTGGCTTGGTTTGAAATGCACTCCTAATTTCACAATCTGCGTAAGAAATTTGCGTTTTTTTGGGTTATAGGACATTTCGTCAACGATTTTTTGTCCGCGCATCTGTTTTTTCCAGTAATTTACGTCCACGCTTTTTTTCGGCACGGGAGTTTTGGTCCATGTGCCAGTTGAGACCCAAAGTTAATTGGCCCACATGTAAATACAAACGACCATTGCTCACAACGTTGACGACATATGAAAATGTATAATGTCTTGGAAGAATGAGGGTTTGCTTGTTTTTTTGTTTTGTTTGTTTGGTCCAACGGAGAATAATATATAGTTGAGTTTTGGTAAAAATGGGGGAGCGTCAATTCCATGAGACAAAATTCACTAAAACTCTGTACACCCCTTTGGTGTAACAGGACTTAATTATCTTTCAAGAAATTCCCTCCTTGTTGTACCTGAACCGGATAAACCTCTATATTTGCCTCAGCTAAATGCTCTTAGATTTTTCCTGTGTACGATACGTATCTTGATTTATTTTGCGAGGAAAGATCTGCACTTTTAAAGGATGCCTGTCATTCTCAATACGTTCAATTTCGTATAATACTGTGCAACACCTCTGTTGTAAAATAGTTGCTTCAGGCGCCGCCGCACGGCGGGCGGGCGGCCAGCGCAAAACACGCATTGGCGCCTACAAACCTAAGTGGATACTTCAAGCATTGCGCAATACGTGAAGTATCCACTTAGGTTTGCAGGCGCCAGTGAGCCTCTCGCGCTGGTAGCACGCCGCTCCGCTCTGTTATGTTTTAATACCTATTTATACTCGCATAGTCGGCGTTTTTTAGCTCATGATTTTGAAATGTTTGCACACTCTGCATTCATTATTCTCATTTAAATGGATGGGGAAAAATATGTATCAATTTATCAAAGGAGAATATATAATGTGAGTGTTTTAAATATTGGTGGTTCCGTGTCATATTTAATGATTTCTAAGGCACATTAATTTTTTCTTTTACATTTTGTGCTTTTATTGTGCTGCAGCGAGGTGTACGCTCAACCAAACACTCAAAATTTGACGTATTTGACTCTAAAAGATCGATGTACAAATGGGTTAAAAATAAAGATTGCATTCTTCTTGGTTTTTTCCCTCTTTTATTCATTTTTGCAGTTTCTGTTGGCACAACTGTGGCTCATTGAGATTAATGTCGCTTGGAAAAGGTTTTACAAATATTTGCCACGTTTGAAAAATATAAATGTTTTATTATGTATAAATGAAGTGATAATTTCGTAAAGAAAAAATTAAAAAAATAAAAAAAAGTACCTATACATATATAAGGTATATTGTATATCGAATATTTTAAAGATAGAAATAAAACCAACTATTCACCAATGACAACTTAAAAAGATGATTCAAAAGGAGAAAGTAATAACATTTCATTTAGAAAATGAGCAACCATAACAACACCTCTTTCTCTCTCAATTTCTCATTTCCACATTGTCAATATAATTTTACATACCGACTAAAATATAACGCTTGGACCAAGTCACTGTTGCTTATTTTACGCGTGGGCGTAAACTACTGGACAGAAAAGGTGCGCGGACAAAAAATCGTTGACAAAATGTCCTGAAACCTTTTTTTGAGCTTCCCGCTTCAATAACGATACTACGGCACAGGTGAACATTTTGTTGGAGGTGTCGTTCTATATACAACCCCTGTCCACTAGGATACTACACAATATTCAACATGACTGACACCAGTCCGCCAAAAAAAATGTACCTGGACGAGATTCTAACCATTTGTTAACAATACAGCGTGTTTACATTCACAATGCCTTCGCGTTGAGAAAGATCCGCTCTGGTGCACCTTTCCGCACCTTGTGCTCCCGAATGCGATTTGCGCGCGGAAGCGTCGGCTATGTTGAGTACTGCTATTGCGGAAGGGTTGAATGGAACGACTCCTCTAACGAAATGTTCACCCGTGCCGCAGAATCGTTTTCAAAGCGAGAAGCTCAAGAAAACGCAAATTTCTTACGCAGATTGTGAAGTTAGGATTGCATTGCAAACTTTGCTAATGCGCTCATCGTGATTTTTGAGACATTTACCGATAGAAACAACTTTTACTTTTGCTCTGGCAAATGTTTGCAACAGGTGCATTCTCACACGATTTTGTTAGCGTTTCAATCTAATATATCTGAGAATTACAAAGAAAAAGCTGCATATCGACGGTGTAAGTCGGCACTCACATAACTCGATTTGCGACGCCGCAGACTTCCTGTCATAGTTTATGTTTGAATGGAACTATTTCATAGTTTTATCAAACTAATCAACGGCAATTCCTTAAAACTGCCGTGATTATTCTTCTCTGTGTGAAGAAAATTCTGCATAAACTTCAAGGAATGATGTCAATTTGTTCTCCTTTGAAAAAATTTCATAGAGGCAGAGATTTTTAGACACCGCAAACGAGATATGTGATTGCGGACATACGCCGTCGATGTAGGTCTTCAAAAATGAACATTTCATCGGAGAGATTTGGCAACGCCTGCGTACACATACTGTATTTTCCCTGGCACGGCAGTATTAGCACAAGGAAGAGCATTCGTGACAAAGCTAATGCGGTGCCCGAAAGTAAACGGAGGGTCATGGACGAGCTGGCTGTTGTTTTCAAGAGTGCCTCCGAAAAACAGCAATAGAAACCCGGAGGAAAGTGAGACTGTTTGGTTTCTGCCCGTGGGCTCCTGGAACCGTTGGCGTTCGGCACTGATTTTCCGATTAGTTCCACTTTTCCTCGCTCTGAGCCGCAGCTCGATTCATGCCGCAAGGAGTGAGCTGCCGTGCTAAGGAAAAACGCCGTATGAACCCTAAGGCCTTGCCAAATTTCCTTTGATAAAGCACGAATTCCCTGGTTACCCTGGCACTTATGAATATTTTCGTTCTGATTTTTCGGATAATTTTGTTCGGAATTTCACCTAAATTTCCTGAAAATTCCAAAGAAAAAGATTCATAACTTTCTTAAAAAATAAACATTTTACCGAAGGAAATTTGGCAACTCTCGAGTGCTCATACGGCGTTCTTCCTTGCCACGGCAGTCAGGGCCAACGTCAATACAGGCCTCTAGTGGTCGCTACAGTCGCTCGGTTGGCTACAGGTACAAACTAAAGAGAGATGAAAACAGGTGGACGAACCTCCACGGAAAAAATGGATTGCTGATTTAACAATTAAATTCTTTAAAATTATGTTGAAAATTTTTAGGATTTGCTTCGCAGCGTAAGGAAAATCATTGAAATTTGCACGAAAATCCGCACAACCGTTTCCATGTAAAAAATAAAATTGCCAAGTTAAACTTGGCACTAGCTGATGTTTAACTTGGTCCAATTTTAAATCCGATATGTTTCAGATGTACATTGTACAATAGTGGAAAGCTATGTTAACCACGGGGGTGGTTAGATTATCATTTTCTCATCGTAAAATCTACATGGAAACATGTCAGATACTTTTTAAACTACAAAATTGGAACGCGTTAAACAGAATGGAACCAAGCCACATCACTTATTGCCAAATCAAATTTGGCAATTTAATTTTTTACATGAATTCGGTTTTGTGGATTTTTGTGCAAACAGTGGATTTTCTCGATAGTGCGAAGCAACCTCCTTAAAATTTTCAAAGGATTCTGCACAAACTTTCTTTCGTAAAAATCAAATTGCCCAGTAAAATGGGGCAAACGCTGATGTGGCTTGATTTCTTTCTGCCAATCGTGGTCTAATTCTACTGTCAGGAATATACAGATTTACAATAAATAGGTTCTAGAGTGGAATAGCCCGGTTAAAAAATGAAAATTCACATGTAAGGAAGTATGAGCGGGAGAGGTGTAGAAGAGAAGGGAAGAGGAGAGGGGGCATTTGATTTTATCCTCTCTTTGAATTTGAAAATTTAATCTGTGCTCAATAGGACAACATTTGCGAAAATAGTGTACTTTCTCTGATTGATCTATTCGTATAGGTAAATATCAATCTGCAAAGGAGATTAATGGTACATTGGTACATATGTATGCTGTTTCTGAACTAACATTCCCCAATTGCAAAATGTATTCCATTTGAGCACCCACTTATTGTGAAGTTTTAGCCGTCAAAACCGCTGTACCTAATCATGGATTTAATGGTCCCGCAATTCGGTTCTGTTAAAAGAATACGGCTTCTTGTTCCAGGTCACCGAGCACAAGCCTGGGTGAATGTTGTCACAATGATTGATTGAGTGATTGATTACATGATTAAGAGGTAGAAATGAGAAGTGTGCAGAAATAACCGGAATGAATGCAATGACTACTTTTGGAAATACATAATAATGGAATGGCTTTTTTGGGGTCCTTGCTGAGATGTGGTTTTCAAAATAGACCCAAAATCGATTTTGCACTGAGTTGTATCTTTAAAACGCAGGAATTTCCGAAAAAGAAAGATTTATCAGTTGATTTTACAATGAGAGTTGCAATTCATAAAAGAGATAGTAAATATACTTGAATCAGTGAGAACGAAAACACACCAACTCTGTAACTCGAAAACGCTTAATTTTCATCAAAGACAGTTAATTTTTATAAAGGTCATTGAAGTTAGCCCATCTATTCCAACTTGGACCTCTAATAGGTCCTTAAGTACTTGTCTTTCGGCACTAAACATCTTTTTCATAGACTAACTTCTTCACCTACTGTGCAATTTTGTGTGCGTCTTGATTATTTTCATTTTTTCGAGTTGGTGTGTTTTCGTTCTCACTGATTCACTCAAGTATGATTGAAAATTACCAGGTCCTTTGGTATTAATTCACCATCACTTCATTTACGAATGGATCTCATTTCGATAAAAGAAACAAACTGATGTAAAAATAAAAGTTTAGGAAAAACTACTAGGGAGTGAATTTTTATTTTCTCCGAAAGTTATATCGATAAAGAGGTATATTTTTACATTGTGTCGGAAAAAAGGCCCATGCGCTTTTCGGGCTGTAACCGGAGAGCAGCTTCGCGGTGAGCTATGTTGAGGATCGGTCAAGGCTGCTGAAAGAAGCTAACCACATAATAGTATTCGTTTTAGCGTGTCACGAACCCATAAAATATGACGAGGTACGCGCTCGTTATAACAGAAGGCGCTGCCCCATACTGACCTCATCCACTTTGAACTTACGCTCATTAATGTTTATCTTTAATCAATAAAAAGTTCAAAGTTCTCAGAATGAACACCTTCAATCGTCTTAAATTCAGGTGGGAACTGTTTATTTACCTCTCTCTCAAGAGTTCAATGAATTTCAGGTAGGCGAGTTTCATGGCCTATGAATACGTTATTTTGCTAACGTAAATTTTGATTACCCACATTTTTCACGTTCCAACGTTTTCACCTTGATCAATTCACCCCCTTCTTCTCTAATCTTAATAGAGGTTGTTCACGGCACATTTTGACTTTTTTTTATTTAGCAGGTGATAAGATTTCCTGAGAATAGTGTTGTCAAATGGCGAAGGAGTTAAGACGATCTAATTTTAAAAGTTTCAGTTTTGCACGATAATTTTCCTGAATATTTTGTACAAAGTTACGTTTTATTATTAGAGTATAATAACGGAAATTTGCCCAACCTTAGTAACAAGAGATAGACGTATTGCCTTTTTTCAAGTGGTCCTCCTTTTCCATTGGTTTATTCGGAAGTTTGTGGTCTATGAAATATATTTTCGCTAAGTTTGTATGTTGAATTTCATTAAAAGTAGTGAATTCAGGCAGAATGTGTGTAAGGTGCAAGGAATGAGTTTAGCTTCACCACACCTCACAGAGGCTAATCCTGCTTCATTTGGTGCGAAAAACATCCAATAATCCGTCTCATTGATAAACCGCAAACAATGAAGAGCAGTTAAATTTTGCTGACATCATTGCCAGCCTAAATTATTACTTTGTAATGCAAACGGTGGTTTGAAATTTTGATCCACTGTCCACGAGAGTACTAGAAAGCATTTATCTTCGAGAAATGAAAGACAATATTTTTAACTCCGATTCGGTTCTTCCGTTGTACTGAAAAAATTTAGTCTCCATCACAAGGAGCATTTTCCAGACTTATTCATGGTGGTTGCTATGGACAAAAAAGGTATAGATAATAGACTAACTAACGGCAACCCACGTGAGAGCCTATAGTTCATCATTTTCTCCCTTAGTCTATAGGAACCAACCATTTCGACCAATAGGATCGCTCCACACTCCATATGTCTTCTTTGGCTATTGTTTTTTCCATCAATTTCAACAATCAGCTCGCTAAGCTGAACACTTTCTCCCATCAGTATTGCTCTGACAGTCATTAGAGCTAAAATTTTGGACTCTCATTGAATTTTTTTGAATTTTTGGGCTTTGATTTTCCCGCAAGATAGTGTGAAAATACACTTATCGTGTTTTTCTTCTATCTCTTTACAAAATATAGCTAAATTTAAACTCGAATTTTTGTGTCACAGGATTCTCGAGGCAACAACGCAGAGAAAAAAGGGCGCGGAAAATGTGGATCGTCGAAACCTGGGACGGCGAAGAAGTCACCAGATTCAGGGTCGGTGAGTGGTGTGGAAGAGACTGTTTCTCTGCTGAGCGTGGCAGGGGGGGAGGGAGACACCCCAACGCCGTCGACCCCTTTGGGGCGCCGCCCCCCAACTGTCCCCTGCCAGATTTGCAACCGGGAGTTCGGCTCCAAGTCCATCGCTATCCATGAGCCCCAGTGCAGGGGCAAGATTCAGCGAGAGAGCCAACGGCAGCCTCCCCTCAAAAAACCCACCTCGGCTACCACCACGACGGCCAGCCCGGACAAAGGTAATACTTATACATATAGGGTGATTTAATTGTCCCGCACCACCCCTATAACCCTTAAGGCTCCTGCCCCTTTTCAGTGGATCCTTTTTTAACTTTCAGGGGGTTCCAAAAGTCGCTTTCTTTGACCTGAGAGCACAAAAAAATTTCAAGTCTCTATTTCAATTTAGACCGAGTTAATCAGAAAGGAACCGCGTCCCATATTTTCGAAAAACAAAGGAATTTACTAGAGTTTCACTTGTCATAAATTTTCTTCTGCCAACACTGAAAATCTGAAAACAAAGATTTTGTCGTGAAAAGAGGGATTAAAATTTATTTTTTACATTTAGCCTTATGCAGGAATAAAACTTCATACCTCTTTTCTTCAGTTTCAACTTAATGTAGGTTGGTCCCTCTCTGATGAACTCGGTCTATTTCTTCAAAAATTACTCCTGGTGCTGGCGGTGCGGGTCTTTTAAATCACCCTGTATAATCTAACTTACGTATGAATTATGTATAATGAAGGGTTGCGAAGTTCCATAAGTTTTGAAATCATGAAAATTCACTTAAAATATTTTGGGGGAATTTTAAATTTTACGAGGTGCCTATAATGAAATGTAACTGTATATTATTTGCTGCACGCTAAACTATTATAAAAATTATCTGCCTGTATTGTTTAAATGGACGTATTTAAAGCAAAATGAAATATATGCATTCTAACAGGAGCCTCGAGATAAAAAAAAAAAACACATGCATGATATCGCTGGTAAAAATTGGCAGTAGAATCTGTGTTCCAAAATACCATAGACCTACAGCCGGCTGTAAGATTTCCAATAGCTTCTATAGCCGGCTACACAATTTCTTATAGCCGATTATAGCCGATGGCGATTAAGCAATAGCCAGGCGATAAAGTATATGCTAAACATTACTAATTACGGATGCTAGGACTAAGTGAGTTTTTCGAATACTGCTCTCGTTTTGGGCCGTAGTATCTTGATTTATTTTGCGAGGAAAGCTCCGTACTTTTGATGGATGCCTGTGATCACTAATATATTAGAGCGCCTTCAGTTTCGTATGATACTGTGCAATACCTCTGGTGTGAAATAGTTGCTTCAAGCGCCGTGACACGCTGCGGCGCGGCAGGCGGGTAGCCAGCGCGAAACGCGCATTGGCGCCTACAAACCTAACAGGGATACTTCACGCGTTGCGCAATGCGTGAAGTATCCCTGTTAGGTTTGTAGGCGCCAGTGCGTCGCCGCTCCGCTGTAATATTTAATCTGGCGGAGTCAGCGTTATTCAACTCATGATTTTGAAATGTTTGCACATCCTGTATGGATTATTCTCATTTTAATTGATGAACAAAAATATGTATTAAATGAAAATATAATGTGTGTTTTGTAAATATTAAGGTGGTTCCGTATCAAACTTAATGATTTCCAAAGCGCACGAATTTCTACACAATTTCTTATAGCCTTTTATAATCGATGGCGAAAAAACAACAGCCAGGCGATAAAGTGTAAAGCCCGGCGATAGGAACTATAGCCGGACTGCATACTTTTTTATCACTTCGTATATCCCGGCCGTATGATTTTCTCCGCATTCTACAGCCAGCTATATGATTTTCTGTAGCCTCCTTTAGCCGGCTATAAGAATTCCTATGGTATTTTAAATGGTATTATGGTATTATGGTACTATAATTATGGTATTACTAGCCGGGGGCTACGCCCCCTGGACCCCCGGTCACTCGCTACGCGAGTGACATTCGGCTCGCTTCGCGAGCCGATTTTGTAGTAGTTGCAAATTTTTTATCACTATATTTTGAAGATTTCATAGAAAACATTAGGAAATTCTCACTCCACAATTAACTTGTAGAATAATAATGGCAGGGCAACAAATAGACTATATCTTAAAATGGACGGTTCCCACTTAGTAAAAACAGCCAACACCACGTGAAGGTGAGGAATCATCGTTAGCCTTTTTTTTTTCTTTCTTTCTTTACTTTTCTGAAAAAAATTTACTGAAATTTTAGTTGCGTCCCCTAAAAGGAAACACGGAGAAAAAAATTTGTGCATGGAACCCGAAGCTGAGATCATATGGATCTCTGAAGTTTTCGGATCACGCATCCGAAAAGTTAAGGTCCATCTGCCGAAGTTCGGGTCAGACAATTGAAGTAGTTCGGTATATACCGTAGGTTTCAGGTTACACATCTGAAGTACTCGGTGCATACCGAAGTGCTTCAGATTTCTGACTCAGAGATTTAGGAAAAACACAGTAGAGAACCAAGGAAATCACAGTAGAACAGAGGAAAAAATACAGTCGAATAAATAAAGAAAACTATTATCGAAGAAATTCTAATTATTAGAAAGTAATTAGCTGGCGTAATCAATGCGTAGCTGCATAGGAGCATGAGCGAGATTTATCATCAACTGACCGCTGGCCGCTAGGTACCTGGGTGGGCGAGCGACAATACGTAAGTGGTGGCATATGGTTCGATTGACAGAGGAGTGGGGAACGGTCAGACGTAGGGGAAAGGTTCAGGCTTAACCGTTCAGCACAGCGCAGCGTCAGTCACCGGGTGGGGAAGAGAGTCCAGGAGGGGACACTTCCCCTCGAGTGAAATAGAAAAAGGCAGAATCCTTCGAAGTTTATATTAATGATGGTATTTTTCCTATGGTATTCCTATGGTATTTTTGGTATTTTGGTATTTTCTTATCGCCAATTTTTACCAGGGATGGCTCAGGTCACAATGGATATGGTTCCTTTTTATTTAAACGCGTTCAAATAAGGTATCACATTTATTATTGTTATATGATTTACTTTCTTTACGAGAAAAATGAATACAAATCCAAAATTCAAAGAATACATTAAGTATTTGCTTTTAGTTGAATAATGTTAAAAGGAATATCGACGTCGAAACTACACTCAAAAAACAAGTATGGAAAGAGTAACTTACCGGCCGAGTTATGGATCATGGAGCCTTAAAATATAGTTCGTAGAGCCATGCGTATAGGTTCACGACCAATAAAGTATGGCTCAGAAAGCCATACTGTAGACGGTAAGTCACTTTGGTTAGAAATTATGGATCTCCGAGCCATTTTTTAAGGGCTCTCAGATTCATACATTTTTTTGAGTGTACCAAAGCACGTATCTCGTTCGCGGTGTTTGAAAATCTCCGCTCGCACTTTATATTTTTAAAAGAGAGCAAATCAGCATCATTCCACGAAGTTTTTCCAGAGTTTATTGCCTTCACCAGAGAAGCAAAGTCTCAAATGTTCTCAAAAGTAGACATACAGTAGTTCTCCGTTCATAAAATAAAGTATAAAAATAAGTCTGCAACGTTGGATTCAAACCTTGATGCGCGGTATGGTAGTTTCACCATGATATTTGGACGTATTTACGCCAAATGGAACTATGTGCATGAAGACATGAGCCCTGAGAGCCATAAGAATACATAAATAACAGGGGTCACGTCATAATGCACATAGTTTTGTTTAGCAGAAATACGTCCATTTATTATTGCAAGAACTACCGCAAAATTTGTATCTTTTTCTATCGCTTTTTAGCCGCTGTTGAAAATACTGCTTCACAGAGAGACGTCTCTCGGAAGAATTTGAGACTAGTCGTCACTCCCAGACGTAAAGTCATTTCGTTATTTTAAAGTGGGCCTCGTCGTCCATATAATACCATACTTTCTAAGGCTCATGTGAGCGTAAGTTTACGCCTATACGTCAGAGGAACAGTGACCCAGTGAGCGTAATAAAAAGCGGTCGTGGACGCAACGGCACCCACACACGATTAGCTCGTAATTCCTTGCGCCTTCTATCGCTGACCACGCAACACGCAATACCCCACTGTTGCGAGACGCCCTCCCAGGCGTTGTTAAATCGGGCATGTTTACAAACGCGTCGAAGCCCCCAAAAACAACTCATTAACATTTAAACGACATTCGTTTCCGAGGGCCGACAAAGCTATTGTCGAAAATTATCGTTTGGAGAACTTTGACGGCTGTTTTTCATGTGCTGATGAAATTGTGGCCTTCTTTGTGAGTTTTCACCCCCGTGCTAGAATATTTTAATGATGGTAATCGAACATTTTTGTGATTGATATAATCTATGTCGATTGAAAGTAAGGTCTCGGCATAATGATGTGAAAACTTTCGATCGGACGATATCTCATAATAGAAATATATTGATTATATTAAGCAATTTGTCGCGTATTGCTTATTTATTTTTGCTTCAAGAATTCAGACAATGTGAGGGCGATGCTGTTAAAAACCATTGAAATCTCATTGAATTCGAAATTAAAGAAGAAGAAGATTCAAAATTCCTTCATTTCATGGGATTTGCAATTTCATCCCCGTAGAGTTAAAATAGTTGCCCAGGAGGAATCACGTTTGCATTAACGGTGCAACGGCGTGGTGTCTCAAAATGAAAAATTAACTCCCTTATTCATAAATTCATCCGCCATCTTTCTCAAAAACCCGAATGGCCCTCCTAAGCCTAATTGCTTGCTGAACTAACTGCAATGCGTGTTGCGATTAAGTAGTTTCTCAAGTTGACTGAATCTGCCTTGAACACTTTGAAGTACCACACTTTTATAAAAAGAAATACTTTTGAGTGACACCAAACTTTATTTCTTTGGAGAATGTATATTTTTCTTTTTAATAACCTTCTTGACTCACCTTTCTTTAGATAAATTCGAAAGTGGTAGGTTAGACTATACTGATCATAGAGTCTAAACGCCAATTTATCGCTAAAAAGTCTATCTTGGATTTTTTAACCAATTTAAGAAGTTTGGCAAGGTACTCCGACGAGGAAGCAAATTTTGCGTAACGTATACATCTAACCTGCCGAGAGGGTCGATTTGCATCGTGTATCGTGGCCTATGGAGCCAAAGTGGTCCATAGGTCCATGCCATTGAATTGAAAATGACAAAACGCTTTCTACCGCTCTGGTAGATTTTTTATTATCTTGCTGTTTCAACCCTTAGCGTTCTCTCAGGAGGTCCGACAACAGTGAATATAATTACAGCCCGAAACGGAGAAACGTACTCTCGATAAGACCACGGAACCCGGAACCCGGAACCAGTGGTCACTGCTGAGTGTCATGTCATTCACCCCTAGCGGCCAGTGGCGTGGCGTGCTTTGCGATATATCGAATGATCTACCATTTAAACCTATGGAAAAGGATCGATAAACGGGGTGTTCGCAACAAACACCTTAATAGTCGAGTTTTTACTATGGTTTCAAATGGAGAAATATCGACAATCGATCATTCACGCCACGCCACTGCTAGCGGCCTCCCACTTTTCACCAGTACATCCGCCTGCACCCTCATTGAATGCCCCCATCCACCCCCGCCCCGTCATCCCCTTGTGCCTCACCCGCACGAATCAAGCCGTTGGTCAATATAAACACCCCTGCACGGTCGGTCATTCACCCGCGTAGTAACTTACCCCCTCCCCCTTGCCGCTGCAAGGAGCTGATAATTGTAGGTATGGGCTATAATTATTCTTCAGAAGGATAATTCACCCCTTTTCGCCATTTCTCATGAAGTTGTTTTTGGGAACTACATTGAGCAAATGTCAGACAAATGAATGCTAAGGTGCGTATAAACTGGACTAAATTTTGCGACAGGGAACTCCGGCTCATTTTCCGGCTCAGTCCAGAAGCAACATATGTACCACTGGTTTCCCTATGCATGCATATAAGTGTTTTTGTGGAAAACCCAGAAATTTTAGTTCCTAATTTCAAACTGTAGTCCAACTGTAATTAAAATTGTGACACTCGTCCAATATGAATAAGCTACTAACAGGGACATGGAGGGCAAATTGTTTTATTACAGGGTGGTCTTGAAGAAAAAAAAATGCAACAAAAATGTACCCAAAAAAGGTTTGCAAGGGGCGAGTCTATGGTACGTGTGGACGCAGAATTGCGAACAATCAAAATCTTTGCTGATCCCGAATCCGAGATATCGCAATTTGAAATTTTCATATTAAATGCAAGTTTCCTACTGATTTTGATCCGCCTTTGCATTTACTTGTCCATTGAATCGGTGTTGATCGGTTAACGTTTTTATTTTTCGTTCGATTCTTTTCGATCGAATACATACCCTCTCGTCACATGCAGAGTACCCATCATTCTCTTTTTTAAAACTTAACAAGTCGCCTTCAGCTGCGTCTGCGGCAATTGTTGTTATGAATATGTTGTGCGTGCTGATTTTAGGTTATTACATACTCGACTTTCTGAAGGCGTTTTATGTTCGCAAGTAGCGCTATCTGTCGGAAAACGAACAAAGTTGGGATTGAGCGATTCATTCTGTGGTTCTCCAACAGAATGCTCTACTTCCGCACAAAAAACGCCTTCAGAGAGTCAAGTATGTAATGTGCTGAGATCAGCACGCACAACATATTCGCAACAACAATTGCTGCGGCCGCAACTGAAGGCGAATTGAAAACAACCGTGCGATTTTAATAAAACATGTTAGCTCTTTAATCCATATTGTTACGAATAGAGAGTTGTATTTTATGGTCTGTTTTTTTTGGGGGGGGGGGGATTCTCAAAACCTTTGAAGGAGACTCTTTTATACCCTGCTACAAGAACTCAATTTTCAGTCTCTATGGATTGCGGTCCATTCTTAGCTGAAGGTCACAATTTACGAGAAAATTACGAGAGTAAGGTATTAAGTTAGTTTATGGAATTTTGTTTGTTTTAGAGACTGAAAAGTCAAAATAAGAATCCCAGCAAATCGGCTTTCCTAAAATTTTGTTCAACAACCTCTGCAGTAAAACATATTTTTTTTTAAAAAAAAAAAAAAGATCCCTGAGGTACCCGCATTTTATTTCGTGACAGCTTATTTATTCCGTATCCACAGAATCACTCCAAAAATTAGGCAAATCGTTATTAGGATTGCACATAGCAGAAAGGAAGCAGCGCGATTACAGTGTTGCAAAAATGTTGCTTCCTTATAATTATCAAAAAACATCACCAAGAAAATCAAATAATTTTGGCTTCCCACCAAAAAATTGTTAATTTTAAAGGAAAATAATGGTGTAAATTCTAAAACTGTACATATATTAAGTATTTTCAAAAAAGAAAATGGGAAGCTGCACGACTTTGAAAACACTATAAACACTGGTTCCTTTTCGCTGAATGCGATCCATATAATATCTACGAGCAAGTGTAAGTTAGATAGACATTGCCAAACAAACGCGTGGTTGCGTGGCTGCTGGTATAAGTATTTGCTAACACACGAAATTATTGATTGCAGAAAATAAAATGCAACAAGATGCGGTGTCGGACGACTGGTTTTGGGAGAGTCATCGGGAGCAGCTCATCCCGTGCAAAAAATGCGGGAGGACCTTCAATCCAGACCGAGTCGTGGTTCATGAGCGGAGCTGCAAAGGCCGCCTACCCAAGAAAAAAGGCCCACAACGGACAGGGACAGGACCGAAACGATCGTGACGCAATAATTGTCATTTACTAGCATCAAAGCCTCGAATCCCTACTTGAGTTACTATTTTAGCTGGTGCCTGATCTGCACCTTTGAATCAGTGAGAACAAGAGCACACCAACTCGAAAAAATGAAAATAATCAAGACACACACAAAACTGCACAGTGGGTGAAGAAGTAAGTTTAAGAAAAAGATTTTTGGTGCCGAAAGAGGTAGGTACTTGGTAGACCTTAGAAGTACTTAGAAGTACTTAGGGACCTCTTAGAGGTCCAAGTTGGAATAGGATGTGCTAACTTCAATGACCTTCACTGGAAAAAAACACATTGGATCTAGAGTCCAGACTCTTAAAAACATCGACAAGAAAAAATACTTTTGATTCAATCGGATTTTTTCTTAAATCAAGAACCAAGACTCTTAATTTAAGCGGATTTCCTTTTGATTGAAGCAAAAATCTGATTGAATCAAGAGTATTTTTTCTTGTCGATGTTTTTAAGAGTCTGGACTCTAGATCTAATGTGTTTTTTTTCCAGCGTTTATGAAAATTAACTGTCATTGATGAAAACTAAGCGTTTTCGAGTCACAGAGTTGGTGTGTTTACGTTCTCACTGATTCATTTGTCTTCTTTGCGGAAAAGAAGTGTAAGGGATAAGGCCTTAAAATTGTGATATACCCTTTGTTTGATGATAGGGGCATTTCCAATTTATTGTGGTAGGTACGCTAAAAAAGTTGGGGTAGTGCCGCAACATTTGGGTTTATTAATTAAATAGGGGTAATTTATTACAATGACCGCACAATTAATTGGGAGTACTGCCAAAGTTAATTGGAAATGCTCAAGTTGAGACATGATCCCTACCTCTTTTTTTCCGTATCTGGAAGTGAACTTTTTTAAAGGGGTCTATAGAAAAGGAAATCGAATCGACTCCATACAGCTCACTGCTGATCTCTTTATTACATCACGAACCCTAATAAATGTGTTAGTATCATATTTTCACCATTTTTTTGAGACATTCTCAACATTTCAATGAAATTAAATCAATTCATCATCAATAATGATAAACAGAGATCATGATGTCTGTGATCTCACAATCAATCTTCAACATCATAAAACTAGTCAGATATTGGAAAAATTTCTCTGCTTAACGTCAATGGTTCACATTTGTCGAGTGATTTTAAGTTTATTGTTATTGTCAAATATACTAAAGTCGCCGATAGGCTGAAAAATTAAGTTTTTTCTTAAATGATTTTACTCTCTGTTGATATATTTTTGTACTGGCACTTAACTTCTTATCAAAGTTTTATCATTTTTGTTTGGAATTTTCAGTGTTTTATATTTGTTAATGACGCATTGTATATTTATTTGCAGCTGACTGTAAACTACAAGTTTTCTAAAATTAATTTTACTTTTTATAAATGTATAAATTTTGTTGTTTTGTTTAGTATCTACTTCTCTACATCTTCGAAAGATCGAACGCCTTAAAAAATGGTTTCAAATCTTCAATTTGTACTTACCACCGTAGATCTACTTGCAATAATGCTAAACGTGTCTCTAGCAAGTAGCATTAAATCTTTCTATTTAGATAGAACTTTGGTTGAATCTGATCCAAAACAAGTATAAAGCACGATTTTAAAACGCTCTGTACGACACGATACGGTAGCTGTTAAAATATTTTCTGTAAAAAATACACGGTTAGCTTTTTTTGGAAGGTTTTTGATGGTAAATGCAAACTGTAGATTTGAGACTCAAAAATGAAAAGTAATTTGATCTTAGGCCCAGTCTCCTGGGAAACTTTCCGGAAAAACATGACAAAAAAAAGCAGGAGGAATCACGTTTCAATCAAAACTAAAAACTCCTTAAATCTTGAGGTTTGTAATGAACTTCCGGATGTACGGCTTATTGCATAGCAAAAAAGTTGAAGGCGTTTTATGGTTTCAGACTTGACTGGAGTGATCTTTTATCCACGGTCATTTTATATAAGATCACATTTATTTTGATGTCTCTCTTTCAATAAAATCCATTCTAAATAACTAATCATTTATCCGATTTTAAAATGAGGGTTCACTGTAATAATGTTCGATGAATTCTGCAATTTCATATATATAATAACTCATGACACGCTGTCATTCTGAAAAATGCGGTAGAAAGAAATGGTATAAGTATCTTTTTCTAATCTCTCAAACGTTCTACCTGAGCAAGTATTTTTTTTTACTTTTCGTCGTGGGAAAATAAAATTACTTGTCTCTGATTTTAAAGTATATAGGAAGAAGAAAAAATTATCTCATTGACTGTTCGCACCTGTGATTGCTCGGCCTCATTATAGATCCTAATTAAACTAATACAGTCATTCACATTTAAAGTATTTATTAACTACAAATACGTCATACTACAAACATATAATTTTTTTCTTTTTCTAGATCATGAATTACAAGCAATGGTATAGGCATGTATGTCGAAAATGTTCGAAATCAACGGTTTTCAAGATTCAGTCTACAGTTATCTGGAACATTGGTTTCATTTTACTATTTACTACAATGAAAAATAATGAGCGAGTTACACAAAAGGATTTCTCAGATGTCTGACTTGAACACTTCAAACTTTAGAACTTCATTATTGAAGGAGTTATGATATTTTTATTCTATGACTCCTATCCCATTCATGCCACCTTTGAGTTCTAGCAAGACCAGTCGTTGGCTCTGAGCATGAGGATCTATTCTGCCTTGCTAAGGAAAAACGCCGTATGAAGATACGAGAGTTGCCAAATTTCCCCTCCTAAAATATCAATTTATGAGAAAAATAATGAATATTCCTTCTTGAATATTTCTGAAACTTCAGATCATATTGCGAAGAACATTCTCTGAAAAATTGGACGGAAAATATTCACCACTATTGAAACTTCGTTATTGAAACGTTCGTTAACTTCGTTATTGAAACTTCGAATTTCACCAAAAGAAATTGACATCGCACGGAGGTTCATGCGGCGTTCTTCCTTAGCATGACGGTATTGCTAGCAAGCGCGGTGGCTGGTCTCTTCATTTCTATTTCTATTCCTCCCTAAATAGACATTCTCGCTGCATGATGTTACATAGGAATGAATTTTCTCACGTTTCAATATTTTTTCTTCAATACCATGAGCCGCGGGTCAATTATTGAAATCTAAAGACAAAGCTACAGAAGGCTTCAGACAAAGAGGAAAAACGGGGTATGGAGGGATCCTATTGGTGGACGCGAGTGGTTGCAATGGACAAGAGGTAGGCAATAGGGTAACTAACGGCGACCAGCGAGAGACCCAATAGTTAGTCCATCGTTGTCTTACTTAGAAACCGCACCCATTTCAACCAATAGGATCGCTGCATACTCCCCATGCCCTTTATGTCTATAGCTTTGTCTATTAATTCCAATAGCAAACCGTAGGAGAGTAAATTTTAAAAGCTACAACGGATGCAGCTCAACTCGCATTTACTTACTTGGTGGAATGATTATCGTTCTTATCGCACAAATTCGCCCCTCAATACTTTTCTACAGGGGCGTAGCTAGGAAATTTCTCTGGGGGGGGGCATGGGACCACCTCTCGTGGTGAAGAGAGCGGGGGGGGTGAGGAATGGAGGATCCCGTTTTTCTGGGGGAGGGGGGCACGGGATTTCTGGGGGGGCAGGCCCCCCCAGGACCCCCCTAGCTACGCCCATGGTTTTCTAAAATTTACACCGGCAAAAATAATAACGAATGACAAAAGTATGCACCTATGCAGCGTTTGCGCCAATTGTTGATAAGCAATCACTGACCGGTTTCACTTTCTGTCCTTCAGACTTGTTCCGACGTCTATCCTTCTTGGGGTATCCACCACAAACGTAGGTTCTGGATCTGACCGTGTTAGCCGTTTCCGGAGGGGGCGGGTAACAACGGACTTCTTTCAGGTCCTTGCAGTCCGGATCCTTTGGGGCTGCGGTTAAATCCTTGGCTACCACTTTATATTGCTTGTAGACTCTCTGACAACGAGTATTTGAATCTGCACCAGGACCCGTGCAAGCTCTTTTCAAATCCTTTTCGATATCCGATATAGCAGGCGTTCTCCTCTGAATAGAAATTTAAAATTAGACGAATCAGTTGATTAATAATTGGACTATTTATGCTAAAAGGAACTATGTGCTTGTGAAAAGATGGGGTGTGCTCGTGGAAACTGCATAAGAAACAATGTTAAAGTGGATATAGTTCCTTTTGAGGAAATGGAAAAGCGGGATTTTCAATTAAATCAAAAGGAACTGAGTACTAACCCGTGAGCTGTGGGCATGTGACAAGAGCCTTGTGGACAGGGCTCATGAGTTAAAGACCGCCTTCCCGATCGTCGTTTCTCTCGTCGTTGCCGCTGACGTCACTGGCGCTTTTAAATTCCTATTCGTACTTATGGCCCGAGCACTGACGAGCACACCCCATCTTTCCACTTGCAGATAGTTTCATTTAGCATAAATACGTCCAATTGCTAAGGCATATTTTTCGTCGTTACCCTGTCCCCGAGGCGTATCTTAAGTTCCACCTGAGCCCTGTTCTTCGTATAATTTTTTGCTTTCCGGGGCCCACGTGGAAATAGAAATATGTCCTTACATACGTCATAGGAACGATGGTATGTTTAACGGAAATTCTCATTTAAAAGAGTAGGATTATGATATTTGAGGTATGAGGACAGGTTCTCCGATGACGTCATCAATAGATACCCAGATGCCATCGGCAACCGATGCCAACAAAACGTCATCAATGGGAGTCCCAATAACATCACCAATGGTTGCCTGATGACTGAATAAACGAGTGATCTGATAACTGCATCAGCCAAAATAGTCAAAAGTAGCCAAAGATAGCCGGAAATATGGCCGATACTAATTGAGATGTTGCATGTGTGAGGGATTTGCGATTTGACCGTTGATTCTTATGTTAAATTTCGCGAGAAACACGATGGGGCCACTGGTTTTCTCTGAAATCATCTCCCAAGCTCAAAAAAAGCTCTAAAAAAAGAGACCAAAATGGAGGGGATATCCCACCCTACCCTGAAAGTCCACTACTACGTCAAAACAAACTCTCCATGCAAAGATAGGGAGCAAATACATTAGCAGGGTTGCCACCTTAATTGGGGACTCCAAAACCGAAAACACGGC